GGGGCGGGGGCCAGCCTGGCCTGGGGGAGGGGCTGCCCACGGTTCAGGATCCTCTGACCTCTTGTCCCCCCGAGTTTGGCCGGGGCTCCTGTTCTCCCTGCCAAGGAGGGTCCTGCACGTTTCAGGGGTGTTCCCCTGATGGTGACTGCCCCCTGCCCTCGGAGGGTTTGCCCCCTTACATTGGACTGTTCGTTGCTGTAGCTGCTACCAGGGCTGGTGCTGGTGTGTAAAACAAGGGGCCGCCCAGGATCCTCTGACCTCTTGTCCCCCCGAGTTTGGCCGGGGCTCCTGTTCTCCCTGCCAAGGAGGGTCCTGCACGTTTCAGGGGTGTTCCCCTGATGGTGACTGCCCCCTGCCCTCGGAGGGTTTGCCCCCTTACATTGGACTGTTCGTTGCTGTAGCTGCTACCAGGGCTGGTGCTGGTGTGTAAAACAAGGGGCCGCCCAATGATCACTAAATGCCGGTTGGCAATAACACCCCCTTCCCTGGCACAGAGTTCCTAGCAGTGGGAACAGAGAGCTGCGTGTGCCTAAGGGAAATTGCTCATGTCAATGGCAACTCCTGCCCGTTTGCTTTAATTATGTCGAGGGGTCTGTTTTTATGATGAGCGAGGTCAGGAATTCTCCATGTCGGCTTGGGGAGTCCATTTTTATGTATTGTAAACTGGATACGGACCTATGAACCTGTATTGCATGGAACCCACGAGGCCATTTCTGTTGCAATGAGACTGAGACCAGGGCCCATGTGTCCTGAGTGCTGAAGGCACAGGCCCTGGCCTGAACAGCTTGCAGTCAGTGATTTGCCCAAAGCCACACTTCAGGTCTGTGCAGAGCTGGGAGTAGAATCCAAGTGCACAACCCCCTGGACCATTCCGCCCCTCCCTCGTGTCTCATGAGCTTAAGGAGCATTGTTTGAAAAGTGCTTTGGGGACACTGAGTATTGATGCACTTTGAAAATGACCTTTGGGATCTGAAAGTCATTGACACATTTGTGCCAGAGCTAATCTGCCATTCCCATCTCTAACTCCTTTGATCCTGAGGGAAACTTGTGGTGAGTGCTTGTGGGAAAAGGTTTGGTTCAGCTGCCCAAGTTCTGGAGGAAGGGGCTCTGCTTCTGGAGGCCATGGCCTTGGAACGAAGGTGGATAAGGGGACAGGACATGAACATACTTTTTCATCTGCTATCTATCTGAGAAACTCCTTACAAACACAACTGACTTAAGTTTTGCACTCTGCACAGGGTAGGTAAGGTAGATCCCCTGATGGGAAAGCTGGGACAGACTGGGTGAAGAGCAGTGGGCAATAGAACCCAGCTGTCCTGAGTCCCTGTTGTGTGCTAGATCACACAGGGTTTTTCGTATCTCATCTGCGAGTCTCTCCATTCCAGCATGGTGCCTGTGTGGTAAAGCTCCGTCGGATTCCGGGTAGCTGAGTTGCCTACCTTGTTTTGTGGTAACTCTTACCAGCCCCAGTCCTGGAGCAGGACCCCATTGTGCTAGGCACTGTACAAACAGAACAAACAGCTGGTCCCTTTCCAGAGGATCTTACAGTCTAAATAGCTGAGGATTTTGTGCTCTGCTTCCATTCCAGGGTCGTCTTCACAGGCCTGCCCTGTACAAACCCATGTGGGTCCCCATGGGATTAGCATTGCACTCTTCCGGTGTGTTTTCACTTTGATATTGTGCATTGTATGGTCCTACCCCCTTCTCCCAGCTGTTGTTACCTCTTGTGCTGATTCCAGTTATCTGTCATGGTCAATATTATCACCTTGGTAATATTGTTTTGAACTTTTGGAACGTTCACTGGGAGTCCTACCTCCCTCTGCATCATGCTTCTGTTGCAGTGAATGACAGAAATTGTGGGGCAATGTGGAGTCCTAATGTGGTGTTTGGTTTCTCTTCCAGTGTTGTGACCACCCCCTGCTGTCCCTGAACATGTATGCCTGTGCAAAATTCGTGTCTGCTCCTGCCCTAGTGAGTAGCAGAAAATCCCACTTTTTATCCATTCTAATTCTAGGAATTTCTACAATTCTTTATTTTCAACATATTAGCTAATCTTCACAGCCCCTACCATGTAGGTAAGTGCTATCTCCATTATCTAGACAGGGAACCTGAGACACACATCTTCCATCAAGTGAACAGCAAAGCTAGAAATAGAATCCAGCAGCCCCGACTCCCAGTCCTGTTCTCTTGGGACTTTCTGCCTTTAGAGGTGCATGTGGAAAAAGGTAGACTTCACTTCACTGTGTATTTACTTAAAACAGGGGTGGGGAACCTTTTTTGGGTCAGGGGCCATTGACCCACAGAAAAATCGGTTGGGGGAGGGTTAGGGTTAGGCACAAATGAGGAGAAAAAAGTCTCATTTTCTCCTCAGTCGGGGGTCAGACACTCCCCATATGCCAAGGGGGGCAGGCGAGTAGATTTTATGGGCCCCCGCATGTTCTGGAGTGAGGCCAAAAATGAGGGGTTCAGTGTGTTAGGGGGCTGCCAGGAAGCAGGCTTGTGGTGTGGGGTCTGAGTGGAAGGGATAGCACAGGAGCAGCCCAGGAGAGGAGCCCCGAGCCTTGAGGGCTGGATCCAGGCAAGCCGGGGGCCACATCTGGGCTGAGGTTCTGCCCCTGACTTAAAATAAAGGTAGCTAAAGCCGGGCCAGTCTCATTTCAATATGGAAGTGAGAACTCTGGGTATTATTGATGCTGTGCATGCTGGGAAATGTAGTCTCCACAGGCCACGCTTTAGTATCAAATGTGAGGGATGCTGCTGTCTACATCTTATCCAGAGTGTGTGGAGCTCTTAGCCAGTTACCAGTGAATCTCTCTGGCATCCTACTTTAGAAGTAACTTACCCTCAGCAGGCCAGATAATTGTAACCGTTTCCCCTTTGCTACTTATTAGCTGGTTGGCATTTCCTGCCTGTCTCTGGAGGTGTAATAAACCTTCCTTTTGAGCTAAGCTGTCTGCTGCAACATTTGGGCTACTGACCCATTAGACTCCTAACTGGCAGTTTCAGGAATACTTCCCAGCTGCAGGGCTGCCTGCCCTCAAGGCCCACATGTCAAGACTTGGTTATTCCCACAACACACTGCAGAGTCAAGGGGGAGTGGGGGCTAAGCATGCCTTGAGTTCTGCTCCACCCAAAGCTGTGGCACACCTCCACCACACACTTGTCTACACTGACCCACAGAGCTCTCCTGCTAAAGATGGGTCCTGCTTGGCTACATGCTGCACCTTAGTTTCAGGAGCCTGATGCTAATGGAATCACTGTCCTGATCTGTTGGCTAGATGGCTACACCAAATACAGCTGCCCCAGCCCTCTGTTTCAGGAGATAGGTGGGCAGGGAGTCACTGATTAACTAGAGTGCTGTATGCTGGCCTGGCCAGGGCCAGCAATAAGGTGATCCTGACTGAACAACACATCCTGTCTTGACTCTTGGGGCAAGAGCTGCTCTGAGAACAATTCAGTTGTGCTGCATTGGGCCAGCCCCAGCTAACAACTGAGGGGAGCCTGGCACACTGTGCATGCTGAATGGATGCTGCAGCCCGCTGCAAAGTAGAGGAAATATTGCTTCAGATCCTTTCCAGTAACCCGCTGGTCTCAGTCTAGCTGAGCTGACTGGTTATTGCAGGATGCTGGCACGGAGTGTCTGCTAGGGATTGCATTGTGCTGCCTCCGTCTGAGTGATTGCTTTGCCTGTCTGCAGGTGAGGAACAGCTCCAGGCTGCTATGCAGACCCGTCTCTGCCTCCATGCTGAGCAGGCCTGAGGCCAAGACAGATGAGGTAAAGTACTGAGCTTGGACCTTGACGTTGGCGTTTGAAGTGACTTAACCGCTGGGGCCAGCAGGGGGCGTGCAGAGCAAATATTCCACTCCCCTGCAGTCGGCCGATCCCTGCCGGGTGAGCAGGCTCCGTTGCTGAGGGGAGACTCGTAACGCCTGCGCCAAACGGGGCGTGAGGCTTGTGCCAAGCCCTGCCTGTGGGAAGGCTCCTTCCAGGGGCGGCAATTCAGCAGAGGCTGCTCCTCTTTGCATGTCCCTCGGAGCCCATCCCCCAGCATGGCACTAGAGGGGGCTGTGCCTCTCAGACCAGGGCGTAAGAGAGAGATCACGACCGCTTGTGGTCATTTAAAAATCCTCTGGCACGCACAAGTGGGTCAGCCCCGGCGTCCCAGCCAGCTGTCAACTTGTAATTAGTCTGCTCCCACAAATTCCTCACGTGGGCTCAGATGAGAAGCCGCTTCCTGACCAGAAGTACTCTGCACAGCTCCGCTGCTGCCAGATTCCACCCCAGCCAGGGCTGCAGGTCAGCGGTGGGTGAAGAACTTCAGAGGGATCATGGATTAGAATGCAAATGTGAAAGGCACTGTGGAAACGACAGGGGAGGAGCGCTAAACTGCAGGCTGCTATGAGCCCAGGGTCTCAGGAATGGCTAAGGCTAGACGCCAGTGCTTTTATGATACTGAAAATCCAGCTTGCCAGTAGTTTAAGGTATCTGTTTCCAGGCCTAGCAAGCCACAGGCCTTCTCCTAGTAAAGCCCCAGGGAGATCAGCACTGCCCTTCTGTGTGGGAAACTGAGGCACCAAAGGGAAGCAATTTGCCAGAGGTTACAAGAGTGAGGGTACGTCTACACTGCACTCCTCTTTCGAGAGAGAAATGCAAATGCAGCCGGGCGAAATTGCAAATGAAGCGCGGATTTGAATTTCCCACGCTTCATTTGAATAATGGCGTCCGGGCGCTTTTCCGAAATACCCTATTTTGAAAGAGAAAATGCAGTCTAGATGGGGGTATTTCGAGGCAAAAAAGTTCTTTTTTAAGGAATAAGGGAAATTCAAATCCGCGCTGCATTTGCATTCCTCTCTCGAAAGAGGAGTGCAGTGTAGACGTCCCCTGAGCCCTGAGCTGAAGTGGCTCCCAGTTCCGTGGCTCGCTGCACTAACTGTGCCCCTTTCTGTAGCCCAACTCGCAGCCTCACCCGCCTGCAGGTCCATGAAGTCAGCTCTCCATGTGGGGTACTTGGGTTCTTGTGGCCCTTCGTCCGCTCAGTGCAGATGTTTCCATGACCCGTCTAGAGCTCCATCTCCAGCTGAATCTCACTCTCCCCCCTTCAACCTCTCCTAGCTTGGCTCCACCCAGAACGCCCTGCTCCAGGCTGTGCGCCGGGAGCTCCACACCAGCTCTGCCTCCCGGGACATCGACACAGCGGCAAAGTTCATCGGTGCTGGTGCTGCCACCGTTGGGGTAGCTGGCTCTGGGGCTGGCATTGGAACGGTATTCGGCAGCCTCATTATTGGCTATGCCAGGTAAGGAGCGAGCCGTCTCGCCCAGCTTTTCCTCTGCTTTAACCATGCCTCCTGGCTCGGATACGGCCTGTGCAGGAAGGGCCGGAGTGAGCAGGAGACAGATGGGAGGGCCAAATCTGGCCTATTAGGTGCTTTTGAACAGGCCCCCAAATCTTTTCTTTACACCTCCACATCAGTTGGGTTTTATTGTTTTCTCTGCAGTCTAACTCTGACTTCAGCGGGCGCCTCAGAGTGGGGGTGCAAGTGAGTCATCGTGTTGAGTCTGTTATACCCCCCGGGGCCTTGCTCTTAATTCTGGCCAGTGCTCTTGGCTCTGTCATTGGAAGGGATCGTACGTCATCCATGAGGAATATTCCCATAGCGTTTTGACTGCCCCTTGTCTAAGCAGGACACTTGGGCTAGGGCAGGACAGCTGAGGATTTGCTAGGCACTGAGCCCTTCCTGTCTAGGGCACCAATTCACATCCAGCCTGAAACCTGCCCCCTTGTGGGGGTGAAATGAAGCTGGAGGGTTTGTTTCGTCCTGTGTGAGGGAAGCATGCCCCCTGCCAGCCAGCAAGAGTGGGTGCTTTCGAGTGGCCCACAGAGACCAGAATTCTACTGGGGGTTAGTGTCAAGCAGGGTGGGGCATGCCGCTAAGGGACGCTGCGGAAGCTTGCCTTGGCGCTGCCCCCTGGCAGAGTCACCTCCTCTCCTCAGCATTGGGGACTTCTCCCAAGCAGCCTGTGCTGCCTCTGACTTTCCCACTTCCCCCTGCTGGGGGGGCTTCCTGCGGAGCTCAGGGTGGGTTTGGGGTCCTCATCCTGTTACCCCTGGCCCTGGCGCTATGTTCTAATCCCAGTGCTGTGGCCCAGCCAGCCTGGGCTGTCAGGCTCGGTTCGGCGCATCGTGGGCTTGTCAGATACGGGACCTTGTGTAAAGTATCTTCTGGAGTGAGGAGGACTCACCCCGCTGGGAGCACTCAGTGCCCCCTGCTGGGACAGGCCGGGACTGCTCCAGCGCTGAATGCTCCCTGGCAGCTTTATGGCAAGGGAGCGCCGGGACTTTTCCCCACCCCCAGGACTCGGCGGTGTAGGGGAGCTGTGCCTGGCTCCCTTCTGAGGCAGACCTGGGGATCAGCCCCAAGTGCCTTGTGAGCCATTAGGAGCCAGCGCTGCCTAACTCGCTGCTGAATGTCCCCCTCACGATGCCAAGACGCCCTGCTTTCCCTCCGTGCACACTGGTGGGTCTGACTCTTGGGCTGACGGTGCCCCGGCCTGCTCGCTGCGCTCCACTGACAGCTGCTTTCTTCCTCCCCGACAGAAACCCGTCCCTGAAACAGCAGCTCTTCTCCTACGCCATCCTGGGCTTCGCGCTCTCTGAAGCCATGGGGCTCTTCTGCCTGATGGTGGCTTTCCTTATCCTCTTCGCCATGTGATGGAGCCAACCTCCTGCTGCGTTTCCTCCCGTGTCTAGTCGATCGTGAGCGGTTACGAATGTCCTAACGCAGGTGGGGGTATCCCTGCCTCCTAGCCCAATCTGTCTGGCCCAGCCCGGCTGAGGGAAGGTGAATAAATACAGTCTTGGTATATGGGGCGCAGCTTCTTGGTGTGTTCTTGGCATCCAGGGAGCCAGCCTGGCCCCTTCCTCCATGTGTGTGTCTCCTCCTGCCAGCTGCTGCTTGTACCTGCAGCCAGGCTGCCTAGGGTTGTACTCCAGGACAACCTCGCTACAGTAAGGAGGGCAAGGCCTTGGCCATGGGGAGCTTTTAGGTGCTGCGGGACTCAGTGGGATGGGCTCTCCGTTGGGGCAGAGAGATAGTAGGTGCTGGTGAGCTTCAGGAAATAACCTCGGAGGTTCGGAGCATTTGTGGTCCTGTTCCTAGGCTGCAGTCGGGGTGTGTAACCTCATGTCCAGCTCGAGCCTGTCTTCAAGTTGCCTCCCCTGTAATGGCTCCTGGACATGGCACTCCCTTTGGTGCCGGCCACCTTCCCCTACCCCTGCAGTCCAGCCCCGGCTGCTCCAGCTCAGGCTCTAGCGGCCTGGCCTGAGGCCTCTGATCTGTGGCAATGCAGAGAGGTGTCACTTCAGGCAGGCTGAGGTTTCACGGCACCTCAACGTGGGCAGAAGGCAACTCTGCCTGCTTTGGGGAAGCGTTTGCATTGCTGTGAGCAGAGCTGAAACCTGCCTGCACTGTCCCGGGGTGTCTGCCAGCAGAAGTCCAGGGGCTCAAAGCTTACAAGGTGCGTTCAGAAGCCTGGCCAGGTCACTGGCATGCTGGGGCTATGCACGGCTCAGCCTGCAAGGATGAAGCTGGCTCCAGCTCGGTGCTTTCCAAACACACAGTCGAAGTGGCCTGTCCCTGAAAGGCTTGCCCAGGCATGACCCTGGGGTCGGTCCAAAGGTGAAGGAGCGAGGAGACGTGTGTATCTATAGGAACCTGTTCCCGGGGGGGGCTACTACGAAGCAGGTGGGAGAAGCCCTGGGTGACAGGAGGCAGTGGGCCTTGTGGGTGGAGCTATTTCTGGCTCTGGCCTGTCACCAGACAGCTGGGGTTTTGTGCTGCTCTGGGAGAATCCTGAGCTCTGTGAGTAGGAGGGACGGGGACCGAGCCTGGGAGCTAGGGGTGAGCGGGGAGAGTCCTGCTGCCTACTGAGCCCGTCCAGGCTTGCTTCACTTAGAAATGGGAAGGGCAGCTCCCCAAGGCGTGTGCACGGGGTGGGGGCAGGCTCTGGGTTCCACCAGACAGCTGGGGTTTTGTGCTGCTCTGGGAGAATCCTGAGCTCTGTGAGTAGGAGGGACGGGGACCGAGCCTGGGAGCTAGGGGTGAGCGGGGAGAGTCCTGCTGCCTACTGAGCCCGTCCAGGCTTGCTTCACTTAGAAATGGGAAGGGCAGCTCCCCAAGGCGTGTGCACGGGGTGGGGGCAGGCTCTGGGTTCATGCAGCCTGTGCCTGGGAGGCTCCAGCCAGCAGCCTGGGAGGGGGAGAAGCTGGAAGCGAGAGGATTTGCCAGCCCTCAAAGGTAGGGCCCTGCCTCCCCGGCACAGCACGGAGTGCCCTGGCGGGGTGAGCTATGCAGTGCCAAGCCTGGGCTAGCTGCTGGGGAAGAGCTCAGCTTCCCCTGTGGCAGAGACAGTGAAGCAGAAAGCAGTGAGCCCTAAGGCAGTTGGGTGTGGCAGGCAATAGAAGCTGGGGCTCTGCCTCGTGGGCCTGAGTCTGAAGCCCTTTGCATGATGAGTGCAGGGCGCGGTCCCAGTCCCTACGCACAAGCTGCCCTGCCCACCGGCTCTCCCACTGGACGACGGCCTGTTCTCCCTTCGCTCAGCCTCTGTGCCAGTGCGCCCCCCCAAGACAGACCTGAGGCCCATTAGCTGGGCACTGAGAAGCCTGCTATTGCCTCAGAGGCCGCTGGTGTGGGGAGGGGGACCCAGCCCCCCGCTCTAGGGAGGCATCGTTCATCAATCCTTGGTCTTGTCTTTGCCAATGGCTGGTGCTTTGAAGGCTGCTAGGGATATGGAAGTGAATGTGTACACATTCGTAGCTTTTGATGGGGAAATACAGTTGTTAAACACAGGAGAAATTGGCTTTGTATGGGACATGTCCAGTGCACTTAATTAGACAAGAGTCCTACAATTGACGGGTACTTCTGCTGCTCATATATACAATCTTGGTTTCTTGTTTCCACTCCAATTCATCTAATGAAGCGGGTTGTGAGAGATTCGGTATATTTTGGTCAGTCTCTACGGTGCCACAGGACAGCTTGTTTTTAACATTACAGACTAACATGGCTATTGCTCTGAGATCTGTATCTCTGCGGTGTGGTTGCAAAGAAATAGCCCCATTATACAGATGAGGAACGGAGGAGTGACTCACGAAAGATCAAACAGTATAGGGCAGGGGTGGAGAACTTTTTTTGGGTTGGAGGGGGGGGGTCACTGACCCACAGCAAAAATCAAACACAAACCCCTCACTGATGTGGCCCCCAACTGAGGAGGAGACACTCCCCACGGTCCCCTCACATGCTAGCACCTGGGGGGGACAGGGCAGTAGATTGTGTGCTCCAGGCCTGTGGGGGGGCTGGTGCGCCAGTGCAGGCTCCCCCCAGCCGGGGCTGCATCTGGCCCCCAGGGGGAGGGAATAGAAGCCAGGCCCCCTCAGTCCCAGCCCGATCCCCTCTCTATTGGGCCATCACTGCTGCTCCAGCAGCTTTCCCGAGCTGGAGTAAACAGCACGAGGCTCCCTCGGACACGCCCTGGCTGCAGTCAGCGCCTCGGCGCACCTGCTGCTGTGCGCCCCACAGCTGGTCCTGCAGGCCTGGTGTTGATGTTGCTAGGGAACGAGGCTGCCTGGGTGTTTATGACAACTTTGCCTGTGTTTTGGAAACCCACCCTTGCTACTGAAGGGAGCCGGCCCAGCGGCTGCTAAACCCCAGGCAAGGGGTGTTAAATGACTTGGCAGATGCAAAGTCGCTTGTATCTGTGCTGCATGGATGTCAAGGCTGAGCAAGTATTTTCATCAACGGGCCAAAGCCTGGGAGAGAGACAAGTTGTGCTGGAAAGTCACCGGCGCGCCAGCTTGGTATAAATACACTCCATGGCTATGTCTACACTCGCGGCTTCTTGCGTCAGATGTATGCAAATGAGGCTAAGTGTGGAATATCGCCGAGCCTCATTTGCATACCTAATGAGCTGCCATTTTTGCAGAAGAGGCTCTTGCGCCAGAAGGAGCTGTCTACACTGCCCCTTCTTGCACAATGCCGTTACGCCAATTATTTTCAGGAATAAGGGCATTGCGCAAGAGGGGTTTTCTTGCACAAGAAGGGGCAGTGTAGACAGCTCCTTCTGGCGCAAGAGCCTCTTCTGCAAAAATGGCAGCTCATTAGGTATGCAAATGAGGCTCGGCGATATTCCACACTTAGCCTCATTAGCATACTTCTGACGCAAGAAGCCACGAGTGTAGACATAGCCCATGGGGAGAGAGAGGTGTATCCGAGACACGACAAGCTGAGGGCCTGACCGACTGCCCCTCGCAGCTGGCATCTTACGCAGCAAAACCAAATTGAGATTAAGCTTCCATTATCGCCCTCTCCCTCCACCTGTTACTTCAAAAAACAGATTCCTTTGGGGATATGTTTTTCCAGACTCGGGCTCAGTCCAGCTGGGATTGGTGGGGCTTTTTAAGTTTGAGCAAGATTTTTTTTCAGCCCTTTGCAGTTCCTTGTGTGCAAAAAAAGAGAACAAGACAGGAAAAGCTGCTTCTGCTTGTGTTCTAAAAGTTCAAAAGGCCAGGCTAAGTTTTGTTCCACCAGTTTATAGATATTGGTGAGACCTAAGGAGTAAGCCAAGTTTGAAAGCAATCACTGGTATTAGGCAAGTTTGGTTTTTACAGCCAAACCCTGGGTTAGCTTGTTGAAAGGTCTAAGTGCTGTCTGGGATGTGTCTGGAAGGGGATTGCTTCTCAAAGCCATACAGAAAAGGGATCATCAGGCAGGTGAAAAGGGGCTGGCTGGGGCTGCCACTCCCTCCCCACCCTGCAACTGCCCCAGCCCTGAGCCTTCCACTCCCCAGGCACCCTTTAGAGAGGGGCTTCTCTTCCCCCCCCCTCCCCAATTTCTGTGAGAACACTGCTGGCTATTCCCCTTGGTCAGGAAGCGAGGGGAAAGTGCACAGTTGGCTGGGAGGCACAAGGGCAGACAAACCAGGACCTGCCCCTGCAGGGAAACATGCAACCCTCCCCTGGAGCTGCAGTGGTCATGGAAAGGTGTTTCCCACCTGGGCCCAAGCTGCTGCAATGAGAGCGCTGGTGGAGTCCTCTCTCCCTGGGACAGCCTGCATGCTGATCCCCTCCTCCCCAGCCCCGCCCTGAACAACGAGTTACAGGAAGCATGGACATTTTCACATTGTTTTCAAAAAAACAAAATTAAGGACCTGGGCAAAGCCAGGTCAATCTTCAAGCAACAGCTAAAGGGTCCACGGTGAGACTACACCTGGCTGGTACTGCTGACCCCCCGAAAAGGGAGATGTGCCAGAGATTCCATGACATTTCCTAGGAATGGAGCTGGGGTGGGGGGAATACCTCAGGGAATTCCAACACGTCAGAATTTGTTTTCCTTCCAAATCAGAATGAAAATTCAAAGACATTTCCATTCAGAATTAGCTAAACGTCTCAATGAGAAAATAACCTACACAAGTTTTAATGGACTATTATAGATCGGTATATTCAAATTAATATTTTAATATACAAGTAGAAACATTCAAAAGATAGGTCATCTTTCTTTGACTTCCCCAGGGAAAAACTGCAACTGAAATGGACAGTTATGAAACTTGTCCCCTTTAATGAAACGTGCATTTCCTCTGTTCTCTCCTCACCCTCCAGTCGGAAGCTTGTTGGAGCTGGAGCCATCTTTTGTTATGTGTCTACTGCACCCAGCGCAACACGGCCCTGCTCCCGGCCAGGGACTCCTAAGCGCTAGCACAGTCCAAACCTTTCCAACTGAAAACTGGGCCACCCCCCAAAAAAGCCACCAACTAGTTCTACTGCAGATTTTCCTCTTGCCAAGGCCTTTCTGTGGAAGGTGCCCAGATACTATAGGAC